TTCTGCATCTATTTCCATCAGGTACTGCATGACGCCTCTCAGAAGACATTTAAGCTAGGCTTCTGTCTGCAAACAATGTAGAGTATCATTAACAGTGTCAAGGGTTGGCTCTCTCCTATGGGATGGGTCTCAAGTTGGGCCAGTCAATCTTTGCTCCATCTCTATCCCTCCACTTCTTGTAGGCAAGACTAGTTTTGGGTGAAAGGTTTTACTTTGCTATGGACAGATCCTTAACATGGGATGGGCGTTCACCTGTGTTGGGCTTTCCTCTCTCACTAGTATGTTGGCTATAATTATAGTATATTTCTTCCTGTTTTTTGCATAAAATACCACATACTGCACAGTGCATCCACTTTACCCTTTATGAATGTTTCAGTTGCTTTGAGTTCTGGATGATTTCAGAGAGCTCTGCTGTAAGCTTTCCCGAGTGCATCTTGCTGAGTGTGCGCATGCATTATGTTTATTCTATGTTTACACTGAACGAGAAATTGCAAAATTGTAGGGCAGAACTGTTCAATGTTAATATATGATGCCGAGTATAAGTACCTTTCCAAAAAGACTATGTCTGTCTGGAGCAGAGAATGTGGCGGCTCCAGAGCTCTGCTCATGCTCTAGTTATTCCAGAGGCGTGGGGTGGAGGGGCACCATGATCTGACTTCAATTTCCCAGATTCTTAAAAAAAATTGGCACATTTTTCAGGTCTACTGGGCATTTGGGTATTCCCTTTTATGAACATTCTTCTCAAGTTGCCTGCTGTGTGTGTGTGTGTGTGTGTGTGTATCTGTCTGTCTATGTATGTTCATGTACCCATGCACATACATATGGTAACTAGAGAGTGTCAGGTATACCTTTCTCTACATCTCTACTTCGCCCCCTGAGACAGCGTGTCTCACTAAATCTCAAACTCACGGTTTTGGCTCGGTGGTCTGGTCAGTATCTTCTGAAATCCACCCGACTTTGGCCCTTCTATACTGGGACCCAGGCGTATTTAGCTCAAAGGGGCAAGTGCTCCTATCTGCTGAGCCATTGCTCCAGCCAAACTGTTCATTTTTAAATTGAATTTTCATCTTTTCTTGCAGGTTTGTAGGATATGTACATATGTTTTATATATGAAATTTTTATGGTTTCAAGTGTCGAGAATGTTATAAGTCTTCTGAATTCGACTCTTCACTGTTTTCTGTGGATGGTTAATTTCTTTATGGTTGCTACTTCTGTTATCTGGAGAGAGTTTTTCTTATCTCATCACCATGAAAACATTCTAATGATCTTTTCAACTAAGCTCCTTGTTTCTTTCTTTATATTTAAATCTCAGTCTAAATGGCATCCACTCTCCTTTCTATCTTTCCCCTTCCCCTTTCCTATCTCATCTTTCTATCTCTTTTCTTCCCATCTTTTTTGTGACCAGGATTGAACCCAAGGGTTTTGTGAGTGCCAAATGTTGTCTTCCTGGCCTATGGCACTGGTCAAGTTAGTATCTGCTCCTGCACCAGTCATAGGAAAGGCCTTCTTTCCCCTGTGCTCTGTGATGGCATTTTTACCCCAAGTTAAATCCCACTCATGTACAATAATGATATGCCCTTTCCTCTTTAGTCCTCTAGTGTGACAAATTATTAGTGGGTTTCTCCCACATTGTTAAATTTGACAATTTCATATACATACACAATGACTTTTAGCCATTTTCCTGCCTTATTCCTATCCCTCAGCCATTGGAAGTTTTCTACTCAGCACATCCCCTGCCTACTGTCACAAGTTTTGTTTTGTTTTTTCCAATGGGTGTTTGAATGTTAACCAATCTTGTACTTTGGATTAAGCCCAATGTGGATGTGAAGGTTTTATTTTACAATCACCTTTCTTCATTTTTGTAATAAGTACTTTCATAATGATGTTTGTGAATTGAATGTGACTACAGTTTTCTGTCATGTCCTCATCCATCATGTTATCAAGTTCAGCTTGTGAAGTGAGAGAAAGGCTATATTTTCTTCAGATTTCAGTCAATGTGAACACACCGGAAGTCTAATCTAACAGAATGTCCTGAGCGTTCCCCACAGCTCTCTCTCCTGTCTTCTGTGTATTTTAACTTAGACTTGGACTGGGAAGCTAGGTTTGCATGAGTTTTGCATAGGAAAGCAAATAGTGGACAGTTTGCTGAACTTCTGAATGGCACTTAATAGCATTTTCTTGTGTCTGAAGCTGGAATTAGTTACTGCATTTTGATTTTGGAAGCCACGAGCAATGGCCGTGTAGGTTTAAAAGAAAACCTATGGCAGGAGAAGCCTCCTGGGACAAGTGAAGAACAGCTGGCTAAGATACATGGTCCTCATGGTGAATCTTCAAAGCTAGTTTTATCTCTGACTTTTGACCCCCCAGGCACTGCTCCTGAGAAATATCTTTTATTTTTAAAACATATTCTACTCCTATGCTACCTACTCTCCTTTCTCCTAGCTGTCATCCTACTGCAGGGCCAGTCTGCTGTCACTGAGAGCCTAGACTCAGACGGGACAGCTGACAATATTAACCCCTTACTAAAAACCATGTGGTGGTTTTGTATTGCTTTGCAGTGTGAATGTAGGCTTGGCACAACTTCACCTCTGACCTGTTATTTCAGTCTATGTTTCTTCTTCTTCCTCTCCTTCTCCTTCTCCTTCTCCTTCCTCTTCCTCTTCCTCTTCTTCTTGTTTGTCTGAGACAGGCTTTCTCTGTGTAGCCCTGGCTGTCCTGGACTCTCTTTGTAGACAGGATTGGCCTGGAATCACAGTGGTCCTCCTGCCCCTGCCTCCCTGAGTGCTGGGATTAGTGAGCACTGCCATGCCTGGCTCTGGGTAGGTTTCTTAACCACATCTCTTAGACTAGATAAGTTGTTGTTTTGTGCTGCTGAGGATCAAACCTAGAAGCTTCTGCCTGTCAAGCAAGTGTTCTAGCTTTAAGCTACACTACTAGCCTTGGACTGAAGAGTTTATAAACACAAAAAGTATATTGCTCATAGCTTTGGAAGAGGGGAAGTCCGAGATTAAGATGCAACAGATAGGGCCTTATGAATGGTGTCTTGTTGCCGTATTGTATTCTTGCATGGTGGAAGATGCAGAGAGCCAGATTGTGCCTTTTTTTTTCTTAATGAGGGCACTATTCTTATTCATGAAGGTGGAGAATCCATGATTTTATTGTTACCTAAAAGCCCCACCTTTTAACAACATCACACTTTGTACCAGCAAAACCGCTATGCTAAATTTTTTGTCAGCTTCACACAACCTAGAGCAGCCTGGGAGGGGGAACTCTAACTGAAGTATTGCTGCAATGGTATTGGCCCGTGGCCATGTCTGTGAGAGATGATTTCAACTGATTGCTGAGGGAGGTCCATCCCACTGTGGCCTGTCCCATCCCCACGCAGACGGGCCCTGGCTAAATATGAGCCCGAGAGCAAGCCCAGGAAGCAGCATTTCTCTTCATTCTCTGCCCTGTTTCGGTCAGTGGTGGACTGAATGTGTGAGGTGAATTAAACTCTTTTCTCCCCTAAGTTAATTCTGGTTGTGATATTGAGTACAGCAACAGAAAGCAAGCTTGAACAGTTACTTAATGCCTTTCAGCAAGAAGTTAAGATGGTCAGATGACTATATAAGAGTGGGCATTTGAATGCCTGACGAAGGATGGATTAGCATCTAGACATCCCACTCATACCCCGGCTACAAGTGACAACAGACTGGGTCTGTATTAGGATACAGAAGGAATCGGAGAAGTCACCAGTATTCATACTAAAGCACCTGGCTGTGACTTGTCTCTCAGCTTGTCTCGGCTACGCTAGTCTTTGTTCACCTTTTCATTCTAGTCTGCCTGCGTCTGCTTTGACTCCCTCCAGCTGGGGCTGCTGGCTCTCATTTCTGCCCATGTATTTGTGCCTGTGGCAGTGCTGGTCCCAGTGATCGGTGTGGAACTTTGTGTGTGCTTGTGTGTGAGGGAGGGGTAGGTGCTCAATTGTCATCTATAGATCCACACAGCACAATCGACAGCAACCAGCAGCTGGCAGCTCTGGGTTTCATTTTGTTTCTTTTCATAAGGCTGAGATGGAAGTAAGAGGTCAAAGCAGCGAAAGCAGCATGGAGGTGGGAGGCCAAGGCCGGGGGAATGCTGTAGCTCAATGCGGTCCTGTGTAATACAGCACAGTCCAGCTATTAAAACCCGCTTATGATGCGCGCCACCTGTTATTGAATAGATTAGCAACAGGGATCTTGTGCAAAGGTAGATTTCTCCAGAGCAATTTAAAAATTCAAACAAAAAAAAGTCCTGCTTAAAAGGCAAATTGAACAAGATCCTGCCCCTGTCTCTTATTAATAAGAGAGTTTACACAGAAACTCTTTAAGAGGTTGCGTGAGGGATTCACAAGGATCATTAAAGTCTACTAGACATTCACTTTCACTGTGTAAAATTGGCTGTGTCCTCAAGATGGTATCACATAAAAATGGGCTTTCTGAGGCTCTTCTCTGTGAATGGGACAGTGGGGCCATTCATTTTATTTGGCCCATTTATTGCAAGTACATTCTAAATTTGGCCTTAATTATTTTTCCTTTCACAAAAATATTTTGTGGGATCTTTTTGAACCTTGACTACTTCCTTCTTGCCCCTTAAAACAGAAGCCAGGAGTGTTATTTTTTGTTCTCTTCTAATTAAAATAATTGCTTGGTTCCTTTTAACTAGCTTCATGCAGTTATTAGGCTAATACATGGATGGGTGCCATGGGGTGCTTGAGGAACGAAATGAAAAGTGATCATGCAGCTTCACATGAGAAAGCGTCTGTGGTGCCAGAGAGAACGATTTTCTTTCAGCTGGCATTTCAGAAGGGCCTTTCGTAAACCTGCCCTCCCACACCCACACTGAAGACCGTTAAAGAATAGTTGTGCCTTTCCCTGAAGGTGCACAGCCAACACAGCCGATCTGAAGAGGACTTGATATGCTGAGCACAGCACAAAGAACTTGGTCTGGCTTTAATCTCTACCCGCTTTGTCTTTCAGAACAACTGCCTTGGAAGGGTGCTTCTCCTGCCAACTGGCACTTATCAAAGGACATCGAGGGAGGGGGACAGAGTGCCTAGAAAGTAGCGTCATCATGTTGAGAAGACCCTACTCAAGCAGGAAATGCTCAGATGAAGAAATGATGCTTTGAACAGGGCTTTCCAGGGCTGGTGCTGTCCAGGGGTTGACAGACAGAGGCCCTGGGATGTGTCTTCTCTGTCGCTTATTCCTATAAATAAAGTTCTATTGGACATAGACCTGTCTGCTGTTTTCTGTATTGTTTACAGTGTTAGTGTTCTTATACAGCCCCAAGAGGCTGTGGCAGAGACTGTATGGTCCAAGAAGCCTAGTGACTTTGTACAGAAAAAGTTTTGGCTCCCGATGTTTGTCCTTTAGTTCTATAGGTATTTATTAAACACCACTGATGAGATTTTTGTTTGTTTACTCTTTTTTTTTTTCCTGAAGATGGTATCCTGGGCTAAGCACACACTAAACAATGTTCTCTAACTGTGATACTTGTCTCTTGCATATGTTTTTATAATGGTATTCATTTAAAAAACCTGCTCCTGGCCCTGCCGAGTCACTAACTTTTGAGTAGAAGGGCATGCAAAAGGAAGGAAGGAAGGATTTAGGGCAAGAAGTCAGGGTTAGAGATAAGATTCTATCCTGGTTAGTTAGCTCATTAGCAGACACAGATCACAGCAGGCACTTCCTCTGTCTGGAGGAGAGCAGGGCATGGCAGGAACTGGTGGTTGGATGGATGGCATCTTTGCTAATGATGTCTCTGTGTTAGGGCTGACATTGCATAGCTATGCATCCAGGCCAAAAGATGGATGTCTTTGCTGGGTGTGGTGGTGCACATCCGAAATCCCAGCATTCTAGGTACTGAGGTGCAAGGATCCCACAATTTTGGCCAGCTTAAGCTACATGATGTGATGCTATGGACACACTTGGTCCCCAGCTGGTTTGGAGAATCAAGTGAGTCCATTCAAGGAAACCATGTATTTTAAAAAAATCATAAGGTAATGTATTGTTGATGAATATTATCTATAAAAATAGAAGCATGTTATCATCTCTATTGGGCATGGGAGGAATAAGGCAGCATGTCTAAGATCAGACGGCAGGTGGGCTGATATGAGGGCTAAAAAGCAGGAAGGTCTCAGGCTCTATGTTGCTGTTCTTTCCAATATGCTGTATGTTCCTTTATACCATACTCCTTTTAGAAATGCTATTTCCTGAGCTGGAGTTCTCAGTGGTCTTGTCTAGCAAGTGCGAAATCTTTGGTTTGATTCCTAGCACTGGGAAAACCCCACAACTCCCCAACAGTTCTTTCAGCCCATTAGTTTGTTCATATATTCTTTCATTTTTTAATCATCACTAAAGAGCTGGCTATGAGCTAGAAAACAGGAAAGTTTTCAGGCTTGCTGATGCTATGTAAAGAAGAGTTGGAAAACTCCACAAATCATCTTGATCTTGTACTTGTGTCTAGAACCTTCTGGAAGTACAGATGTTTTTCTGTGGATTTTCTCTGGCTGGAGCTGTCTCTTCCCTGTGCCGTGGAGCAGGGGAGAGAGAGTATCGAGACTTGAGGAGAGCTGCTCTACTTGTTGGAACTTGGGTTGGAATGTGCTCCCAAAGCCCCAGAAGAAAAATCTGGGTCCCAAATGTGACAGTGAAAACTTTTCAGAGCTGGAAGCCAACACTGAGGGTATGCCATCAAGGGGGAATCTGAGACTGTAGGATCTTTCCCCTATTACTCCAGCAATACAACAAAGAATTCTACAGTGTCCTGTAACCTCCACCAGAATGTGCTGCCTCGTAAAAGGCCCAAGTAGCAGGGCTGGCCATCCATAGACTGCAAAACATCAAACCACAAATCTTTACTCTTTTGAAGTTGATTATCTCAAGTGTTTTGCTACAGTAACAAAATGCTGGTCTAATACATTACCATTATGCAAAATGTTGTTTTGACACTTTTTTCACATTGTGTGTTTGTCTTCATGTCGTTATGTGTGTTCAAGCCAAAAGAGGAAAGAGAAAGAGCTATGGGAACAAATCACTCTAGCTGTGAAAGGATGGAGACAACAGAGGCTTGGGAGATTGAAAGTGTACATTCCAAAGGACTCCCTCTGAGAGAAATGATCCAATATGAACTGTCCAGCTCATTATCACCTGTTAAGCATGCTATGTCAGAGGTAGGTGCCCTCGTCTGGGCTCCTAAACACAACCAATTACACTCACTTGATCTTACAATCTTGGAGATGGTGGTGGCATGTTCGGAAGACACTTATACTAATGTGCACATCTACCTTGTGTTGGTAGCAGACAGGCATGTGATTGACAATTTCTGTTTTCGATATTTGTCCCTTAAACAAGAGAAGTTTCACATTGTTTCTCTCATGTTCAGCGTGACTGGCTGCCTGCTTGTTCTTTTCAGAACCTGAAAGTTACTCAGTCTCAGAAACAAAGGAACCAACAAAGTTGCCTGATAGAAAAAAAAAATCAAACTTTCCAACTCTTTGATTGCACAGGTGTCACCTCTGAGGGGTAGAGTAGAAAGTTCTACTCTGTTTCCCCTTTGCTCTTCTCCCTGCCTATAGGCATAATTCCACAGCTTGTATATTCTGAGCTTTGTCAATGTTGCCTAGACATGCTCAGGACCCAAGACATTGGCCACGGGAGAAATGCCGGTTGCTACTGCACACCAAAGCTACTCATAGTCCCAGCTAGTGACTCCTTCTTCACGCATCCTCTGCAGTGAACTTGAACACGTTCATCACTCTGTGTAAGTTTCTCTTAGCAGAGTGAATCTCCTTTGGTCATGGTTACTTTTTTATTGCTGTTCTAAGACATCATGATCAAGGAGACTTATAAAAGAAAGGATTTAATTTGGGGCTAAGGATCCAGAGTATAGTAAAGTTTCCAACCCCTGTGGCAGGAGCACGGTGGCACGCAGGTAGGCACGGTGCTGGAGCAGGAGCTGAGCGCTCACAGCTACTAGAAACTCAAGGCCGTGAGTGCTAACTGGGAATGTCATGGCTTTTGAAACTTCTAAGCTTAACTCATGACACACCTCCAATGAGGCCACAACTCCTAATTCTTCCAAACAGTTCTGCTACCTGGGGACCAAGTTCTCAAACTTATGAGGCTGTAGGGGCCATTCTCCTTCAAAGCATGATACCTTCTGTTTATTTTTTAAATTTTATTCACTGTGCAGGTATTCTATTCCTAAATTCACACGTTTAGAAATGTTTTTCAGGGTAGAGATAAACTTTTTAACACAGTGTAAATCTCACTGCAGAAGATGTGTGTTTTCTAAAACATTACACATTCTCTTGGTGTGTCAGCCTTGCAGTTCACAATTACCTGTAAAAGAGTAAATTACCCTGTAAAAGAGGAACACTTCTTTGAAAACTCTAGGAATTCTGGTATTATGGCTTTTATCATCTCTCCCACTACTAGTATGTAAACTGGTCTTCTTGGTTTACAAATATTACTTTGGGTTTAACAGAAAAGTAGAGCTTGAGGGAAACCTCATATGCTGCCTCTCTGATGGAGAAGTTGGTATCAAAGCAGGAAGAGTTTGGACACAGGGATTGTGGCTAAAAGAAAAGGAGCAAACCTGAGGCTATGTTATCGATGTGGCCGGTACCTGGCAGGGGACATACTTGTCTTAGTTATCTGCCACTGTAATAAGCATGTGGTGAGAGTCAACTTAAAAAGAGAAATATGTTTACTTTGGGTTAGGATTTTATTCCAGGATCCCCTGGACCTGATCCACTTTGGTCTGGGGTGAGGCAGCGTAGCGTGGTGGGAGTGTGTGGCAGAGCAGAGCTCTCACCTCAGAGCCAGGATGCAAAGGGCCTCATAACTCACAATCCCTTTCAAGGAAACATCCACAGGGGCCCAAGGATTTTCCACTAGGCCTCATCTCTTAAATTTTCAATAGTGCCACCCTAAAAGTCATAACACAGAGGCCTTGGGACCATGAGCAATGGGTTTAGAAATAATGGCTGCTGGACCATTCGGCACTGATCCTTGGAACCAGAGGAGCTGATGTCACAGGACACAGTCTTTAAAGACATGATAGAGGGAGGTGAAACTGTGCTGGGATTCCTGGATGAGTCCTAAATACCAATCCCAGTGTCTTTACAGGAGGGAGGTGAGGCTTCTGGAACACAGGGGAGAGCAGGGTGGCTAAGGAAAGAGGTAAAGGGATGTGATCCTGGGCAGCAGCTGGGGTTTCCCCCAGAGCTTGTGGAGAGGCACTGGACACCCTGCTTTGAGAGGAGGGACATGGATTTCAGACCCCAGGTTCCCAGCACTCCAAGAGGACACATTTTACTGGTGTTTAGTTTTAATATATTTTTAATTGTCTTGTTAGATAGGTCTAAGTCTGTACACCTGGCTGGCCTGGGACTCACTGTGTAACTATGTGCCCCAGGCTAGCCTCAAACTCCCAACAGTCCCTCTGCTTCAGTGTCTTGCCTCACAGATATTAGCCAGCCACATTGACTTGTTTTAGTAATAATGTTAGAAGGCCACTCTTCCAGAGCGTAAATTGACTCAAGCTGGATGGATGGAGTTGGGGTAGGGTGGGGTGGTGGTGGGGACTCACTTGTCAGTTCCAACCAGGAGTTTTCATCATGTCAGGGAACACGACTTCTCTTCTGCCTACAGATGGAGTGGAGCTGGACACAGACGCTGATGGTGGTGGAGTCTCACATTCTGGTGACAGAAAGAAACCAGAGTAAGAGGAGAGGGACTAGCCATAGGGCCCAAGGAGAGAGTCTGATGTATGGATTCTGTGAGACCCACTGCGGGGCAGAAGGTGATCAGTTGTGAGCAGTGTGGTGAACGTGGCACCGGCTGGCCGTGCGTAGGGGAGTGTGAGCTCTTGACAGTGACTTTGCCCTTCACCACAACAATGTGGGCAGATATGCCAGCCCATCTTCACCGGATTTAGGTGTGGCCCTCGCTGATGAGCTGCGATTTTAATTCTTCATGCATACCAAACAGGGTCCATTCTTACCCAGGAAAGCTGCCTGCACATAGTCGAGGATTATTGTTATTGTTATGATTATTGTTATTTTTTCTATTTAGCTTGGGGGTGGAGGCTTTGTGGGTAGTCACCAATCCAGTCCCTCCTCTGAGTAAGCTGTAGTTATTGTTCTTAACCCAGGATTATGGAATGTACCATGAATTCAAGTATGGTTTGCTCAAGCAGGGATGGTTGTCATTTCACTAATG